TAATTATTACAGACAACGTGCATGAATTAGGAAAACAAAATGAAGGTCCTTGGGGATAGGAATACGTCTACGAAAGCTGACTTGCTACAGAGCTAGCTCTCTCCATGCAATGTGCTTCAGCGTCGCAAATGTTTCCTTGCATCATCTCAACTTCCTTAGTCACTGGTCCCCACTTGGGCTCTTTCATTTCACATCCATGTTTTAAAGATGGTACCGGGAGGGGGAGGGCACCTGGGTGGCTCAGTGCATTAAAGCCTCTGCCTTCAGCTCAGGTCATGATCTCAGGGTCCTGGGATCGAGTCCCTCATCGGGCTCTCTGCTCAGCGGGGAGCCTGCTTCCCTACCTCTCTCTCGCTGCCTGCCTCTCTGCCAACTTGTCCTCTCTGTCAAATAAATAAATAAATTCTTTAAAAATAAATAAATAAATAAAGATGGTACGGTGACCCATCATTTTGTACCATGACTAAGAAAAAGGCAACACATCCCATTTTCTTATGTTCTCCCCTCAGTGGGTTCACAGTCTATAACAACATCTACCAACAGAGAAGTGTTTAAATCCACTGCGGAACAAAAGTAAAATGGAGTGGGAGAGTGCCTTAAAAATTACTGAAATGCCTTTCATCCTTCATCTCAATAAATTCAGTAATTCTGAAATGGACTAATCATAATTCTGAATTTATAACATATTTTAATCATTGGTCAACACATGACCACCTTTGAATCTGTTCATATATGCAGACGCTTACTCTTTCAAAGCTCCTCAATGAATACCCAGGACCAAGCCCCCAAGCAATACATGAACACTGATTGTGGTTTCCATTGATCTCTGCTTCTCTCTTTACCCAAAGAGAAGAAAGTCAAGTTCTTCACCATGAGTTAATAATCGAGTTTAGGGGCACTTGGGTGGCTCAGTGGGTTAATCCTCTGCCTTCGGCTCAGGTCATGATCACAGGGTCCTGGGATCGAGTCCCGCATCGGACTCTTTGCTCAGTGGGGAGCCTGCCTCCCCCTCTCTCTCTGCCTGCCTCTTTGCCTATTTGCAATCTCTGTCAGATCAATAAATAAGATTTTTTTAAAAATAATAATCATAATCAAGTTTGGTAGATTGTGCTCATTCTAGGGAGTAAAAGGCAAACTTTGAAAAGAATGTCTACCTTGAACTATTTTAAATGATCAAAGAAAATCAACCAGAAACCTTAATTTGCATTATTTTCTAAACATCTGGAAGAGAACTCTACTTCATATTTACTAATTTGTGTGATTTTTTATTTTAAATAATAAGATGACCACCGCTGAACCTAGCACTGAACAAAAGAAAAATAACTGTAATTAGGAATATCTGTCTGGACTTCCTACCCATGTAGGTAAAAGCTGGGATCATCTTTTTTGGTGAACTTTATTTGTGCAGAACTGGATACGTGGGAGATTCAATTCAGGGCACAATCTCACCAGGGAGCCAAGCCTGACCCTACTTAATATATCTATTAATCCACCCACTAACTGTTGTATCTAATTACTCATGGGATAATAAGGCCAACCCTTCACTGTTCTAAGCGAATTCCAAAAATTAAACAACTCTCAAAACAGAAGCAAAATACTTATTATTTATAAAATGTCTGTGTGCACCATTAGAAAGGCCTAGGGCTCTCTGAATGCCTATGGATTATTAGTTGTGTAAGACATGATATATCAGGGTCTTCACATGCAACTGCATGCTTTTTGTGCATTGGTGGCCGACTTCTTAAAAAAAATTTGACATAAATGCAAATACATTTACTCACTTGTAATTAAGCTGCAATGTCAGCCCCCCACTCTGGCTAAGTGCCTTGAATAATATTTACATCTGTCCTTATGTCATTACCCAGAAGAATAGCAAACTGATTCTTTAATATCTGTTTGCTTACACAGAACTGCATACAAAGACTGCATTAATCGTGAGTGCGGCTGCATAAAACATCACCATCCCTGCTCCGTGGTCTCCCTCTCCATCAGTTTATTCAATCAACTACTTATGTAAATGCATTTCCCTTTCCTTAATAAAATCATCAACTAGCAATGCGCATCACCACAAAACACGGACTCTTATGCGCTGCGGACCATATGCACTTACTAAAGTGATAAAAAAACCTTGACTATTCATTTATTGAGACTAAATATCTCAAAATGGTTTTAGTAACTACCCACGTTTCATTATATGCCTTAAAAGTAGTGCATGCATCTCTCTCTTATTCTTTATTCATTGATATATTTCTTTATTCATGGGCTAATTGTATTATAATAATGCAATTCATACCCCAAACCACAAAAGCCCACGAATAAGATGCTGTAGGCTCATTTCCCACAAAGAGAATAATGAGATGTTTCTTTGTCATGGACCTCAGTTGCAGATGGGTTTAATCAAAATTCTTGTTTCAGAAACCCCATGACATTCATCATTGGTCCATGCTAGGAAATTTTTTTGTTTATTGATTGGTTTTCTGATTCACAAATAATAATACAATCACAAAATTCCAAAAACAAGATCCTCGAATTTTGGGCTTTTCCCCGGTAGAGCAAATTCATCTTTTTGTAATGGCGCTCAAAGCTCCACATGCAGATGAGTCAAATTCCCTGCTTTTCTAGCAAACCCACATTTAGCACTGCTTCCTATGTGGTCCTCTCTTATTTAATTTGTCCATATGTCAAAGATGGTTCAACGAAAAATAACGAAACCACCATCTTCACTCACCTCTGGGCTGCCTCCGAAGAGCTGTCAGCTAGCTCTACCCATATGGGAATGTTTAAACCAGCCATGGCAAAAAATAAAGACTATTAAACTGCTCTGAAAATAAATTATAGAACTTCTACCTTCTTTTAAAATTACCTCCATTGTACTAATTTAGATTAAATGTCATGTTTGGTTTATAAGACATTCCCATCACCAGCCCACACTTGGAGAGTTTTATTTATTTTGTGTGTGCAGCACACAATTATTTACTTTGAAATTCTTCAGGTAACACCCATGAACAAACAGAGAATGCGAACTACGGGACTCACTTATCTCAGTCTTCACCTCCTGGTTGATTGTAATGACTCTGGCTAATGACTGAGTCAGCCATGCTGTAGTTCACTCTGGGTAGGAAAAAGCAGATACAGGTACATTTAGCATTTTTTAATGGCTGTTAATCAGACAGAGCTAGATACCAGTAAAAACCTTGGCTCAAACGTACAATTCTTTATTAATCAAGTATGGAATTCTTAGTGATCAAAAATATAAGAAATACTATCAAGTCCACTACCTAACCCAAGATTAAAATCTGTTATGGTGGGGTGCCTGGGTGGCTCAGTGGGTTAAGCCTCTGCCTTGGGCTCAGGTCATGATCCCAGGGTCCTGGGATCAAGCCCCGCATCGGGCTCTCTGCTCAGTGGAAAGCCTGCTTCCTCCTCTATCTCTGCCTGCCTCTCTGCCTACTTGTGATCTCTGTCTGTCAAATAAATAAATAAAATATTTTTAAAAAAATCTGTAATGGTTACATTTATCCACCTGTGTCAACACCTATTACAGAGATGGTTATCGGGGCACCTGTGGGGGCTCAGGCGTTAAGCATCTGCCTTCGGCTCAGGTCATGATCCCAGGGTCCTGGGATCCAGCCCAGAGTCCATCTCCCTGCTCAGCCAGGAGACTGCTTCTCCCTCTCCCACTCCCCCTGCTTGTGTTCCCTCTCTCGTTGTCTCTCTCTCTGTTAAATACATAAATAAAATATTTAAAAAAAAAAAAAAAAGAAGAAGAAGATGGTTATCTAACAGATTATTGAATGATGCAAACACCTTCCTTTCTCTTAGTTTAACCGCCCCCCCCCCGCCCCTCCGCAAGCTGCAGAAGCGCCAAACCCTGGCCCTGAGCTACAGACACTAATGTTTCCATATAAAAGGGGATTACAGAGTAAGCCTTTCCATTTTCCTTCAAGACTGTATTGATATTAATAGTGTTCACTGCACTCTGCTAATTGTCCCATGAGGAGGCTTTCAGTGTTTCATGGACTCATTTCTTTATTCATTCATGCATTGATTCACTTGAAATAATACAATCCATCTCCATGAACCACAAAAGCCTGGGGCAAGTTTACTGAATTTTCTTAACTTCTCCTATGAGCTAATTTCTACAGAGAATATTGACGGGTCTGCTCTCCGGACTGGACCTCAGAGCTCCGGAAGGCTTCTTCAAAGGTGTGGGTTGGAAAACCTCCACCAGTACTCATCACTGACGGGGCCCAGCGCGCTCCCTCTTCACTCACTTATGCTTTCTTGAATGGGCTCATTCATTCACAGATTCATGGACAATAGACAATCAATAACCTTTAATGACACAAAACTGAGAACAAAAGCCTGAAAGACAACCAAGATCTCTTCATTGCCCCTGTTCAAGGAGAGCAAACAGTCACTCACTTTTCACAAGGAACTTCTGGTTTACACAGAGGGATTAATCAGCACGCTGGCTTCAGTATCAGGCCCTAACTTAGGACCAGTGTCCTCCTGCTCCTTGTCACCTGACTTGCCCACACATGAAAGCTGGTGTCGTCAACAACCAGAGACCTCTCCTCTCAACCCACAAGGGACGGAAGTGACATCTGCCATCTTCGGAGGCATTCTAGCTGCAAGGGTTAATAACTGAGATCTTTACTCGTGAAGGAATGTATTAAGCAAATGAGGCAAGAATATTAAATGAGATGATACAGTGCTTTGAGAGTATGTGAAAAGCCCTCCATCACTTTACTAGTGGTCCACAGTTCAGATGAGTCAAAGTAAATATAAATTTTAATTCGTGACACTTTCCAGTCCCAGAATCGGGACTGGAATTCCTTAATTTCATATGGTATTTAACTAGTTATTTTATTGAACTAATTCCATGGGCTCCCATAAATAACCCCACCTAAGCCTTGAACACAAACATTGATATTTACATATATAAGTTTTTACGCTTCTTAGTCCCAGAATTATCAGCCAGGTCTTCCGGATTAGAGAATGATTAAATCGGCTTTGTGTTCATTCTACAAACAAAGGAAGAAGGGGGGGAAGGAAAGCCAATTTGTAAACACAATGAAAACAGAGGTCTCTTTTTTAAACTGAAATTTGTGAAGGGAAACAGTGAACCAGCAGCTCTGTTTCCTACCACATTCTCATCATCTTCCCAAAGATGGTACTCTCTCACCTACTTAAATTTCTACTGAATAATAGGAATACTATCGAATTCCTTGCTCAACACCAACTAAAATAAAAATTACCAATTAGAGACATCTGACTTTATTTGCTACCTACATAGGGGGAGCACGATCACCTGTGTAGAATTTAACATATTTAATTTGTTTCTCGGTTCTATCCTCCAGTACATGTATTTATGGATTTATGGATTCACTCATTTACTGGCTGATTTTACTATTCGGTGAATAATAATACCAGCTTTCTAAAGAAGACTAGGAATTGTTAAACACCAACCCAGAACCAAATTACAACAATTTGGAAAGGTCTCAATATACCTTTCAAAAAACAGAAAAGCCTAAGTTTTTCCTAGACTATTTGTCATTGGAAAAGTAAGAGAAATCAAAATCCTCATACTTAAACATGTGGTGCCAATTGGTCCATGGTTTGCTGACTTCTTAAAAAATAGATTGATATATAAAATTATACTTTCTTTCCCTTACACAAAGACACTAATATCTGCAATCTTATCTACTGGGCAAAAACACTGTACAAAATTTACATCTGGCCATAGTCATCACCGTCAATAACAGATTTGCTTCTTTTTTATTGTTTTAATAAAAGTAAGTTTTAAAAAGACTGGATTAACGGTGAATGTTCTCATATAAATCATTCTAATCATTGGTCTCTGCTTGGCTCTCAGCTACGTGGTCTTTAACCAACTAGTATAGAGTAAATGTGCTGCCATTTCCTTAATAAAAGAATCAGTCAGCAACCCAGCACCCACAAACACTCCCGAGTATTATGTACAAATAACCATATACCCCTTTCATTTACTATTAATTTATGAGAAATCAGAGTTTCAGCCAAATTTTAATACTACTACTCCATGTTACATTACATTCCTTAATAATAAGTGTAAAACTTGTCCTATTTTTTTTCATTGACACACTTTTGTTATTTGTGGGTCAATTTTATAATAAAATACAGTGCATCACTAAGAACCACGAAAGCCCAAGCACAAGGTACCATGTGCTCCTTTCCCACAGAGGAAATAACTACGTGTCTCTTTGTAATGGACCTCAGAGTTGCATATGGGTTTAATCAAAACTCCTGTTTCAGATACCCCATGGTACTCATCATTGGTCCAGGCACGTTTTTCTTCCTTTATTTCTTTATTTATCCAGGAATAACAATACAATCATAAATTTCCAGGACAAGATCCTCCCACCAGTGGCCCTTTTCCCACAAAGCAAAATGACTCAGTCTCCTTTTACAATGGACCTCAGAGAACACATGTGATCAATTATGATCCATGCCTCGTAGCAAATCCACATTCACCATGGGTCCTTCTGTGGTTTTATTTAATTTGCCCATGTTTTAAAGATGTTTCAATGAAAAGTGATGAGACCCCACCTTTAACCCATCTCAAAACAAAGTCTTCCATTGGCTTATAGGCTGCCACACAAAACAGTTACCAGCCAGCACTACCCCCACATGGAAATGTTCGAGTCTTCTGTGGAGGTCGATAAAATGAAATATCAAGTAGTTCTGAGAATGAATGAAACGACTATCTCGAGTTTGCCAACTTTAAGCACCTCGAGTGTGCCAACTTAGATTAAAAGTAACATTGATGACATATTCCCATCACTGGTCCATATTTGGAGATTTTTATTTCTTTTATGGACACCGATTCTTCGAACATACACTCACGAACAAAGCCTCCCAAGCGGGGACGGGAATTCTGAGTCTTACTTACATTTCTGTCTACGGTCTTTACACACAGAGCTAACTGCCAAGATGTTGTTTCTTAGAAAATGAGTAAAGTCTGCTGTCTTACAGTTATTCTGTGGAGGAAAAAGTAGAATTAACCGAGGTCTTAATGTACAGTAAGTATGTGGAATTAGGTAGTAATAAATTTTGGTACTTCTCTAATTACTCTAGTACACCGCTTTCACATTTAAATAATGTACTAGCCACTGTTCAATCTATCACATAAGGATAAAAACAGTATCTATCAAAAATATCTTTACATATGAATAGTTTAAATAAAACAAAAAATAATTTTAACAGATGTTTCTTTTGCAGAATTGGGTACATTTAAATCCTTATTTTATGGGGCGCCTGGATGGCTCAGTCACTAAGTGTCTGCCTTCAGCTCAGGTCATGATTTCAGGGTCCGGGGATCGAGCCCCGCATCAGGCTCCCCACTCTGTGCGAAACCTGTTTCTCCCTCTCACAACCCACTCCACGTGCTTGTGTTCCTGCTCTCGCTAACTCTGTGAAATAAATAAATAAAATCTTTAAAAAAATAAAAAATATAATAAAATAAATCCTTATTTTACAGTCTCTGTGATAACTCATGCCACGATAAATCAGAAACCACAATGAGATCCCACCTCACACCAGTCAGAATGGCTAAAATTAACAAGTCAGGAAACGACAGATGCTGGCAAGGATGCGGAGAAAGGGGAACCCTCCTACGCTGCTGGTGGGAACGCAAGCTGGTGCAGCCACTCTGGAAAATAGCATGGAGGCTCCTCAAAAAGTTGAAAACAGAGCTACCCTACGACCCAGCAATTGTACTAGGCGTTTGCCCAAAGGATACAAATATAATGATTCAAAGGGCACCTGTACCCCAATGTTTATAGCAGCAACGTCCACAATAACCAAACTACGGAAAGAACCCAAATGTCCATCCACAGATGAATGGATAAAGAAGAGGTGGTATAGATATACAATGGAATACTATGCAGCCACCAAAAAGAATAAAATCTTGCCATTTGTAACGTCGGTTGAACTAGAGGGTATTATGCTAAGCAAAACAAGTCAGTCAGAGAAAGACAAATACCACATGATTTCACTCATATGTGGAATTTAAGAAACAAAACAGGTGAACATAGGGGGAGGGAAGGAAAACTAAAATAAGATGAAAACAGAGAGGGAGACACACCGTAACAGACTCTTAACTCTAGGAAACAAACTGAGGGTTGCTGGAGGGGAGGTGGGTGAGGGGACGGGGTAACTGGGTGATGGGCATTAAGGAGGGCACGTGATGGAGTGAGCACTGGGCGTTAGAGTCGACTGATGAATCACTGAATTCTACCTCTGATATGAATAATACATGTTAACTAATCTGCATTTAAATGAAGAATTTTTTTAAAAAGACTAAAACTAAGACAAAAAAAATCTGCTACCAGAGGACATTTACCAATGTCTGGAGATATTTCTGTCACAACTGGCATCGAGTAGAGGCCGGGAAGTTACTAAACATTCTACAATGTACAGACGGCCTTCCTGGCAACGAATTATCCAGCCCAAGATGTCAGTAATGAGAGGTTGAGAAAATCCTGCTGTACCCTCTTCAAAATAATTGGTTGAGGCATAAATGTATTTATACATTCACTCACAGTATCATCAATATCTACAAACACACAAAGTGGATTAGAAATTTAAACAGAATTAACAGCTGTTCATATGCTCATTACCCCCAGCTATAACCAACCAGAGCATGTTTTCTTGTTTTCAACAAGCAACCAGCACCTTGAAGACCACACAGAACGACACACGCGGATTTCCCGGTACTCATCTGCGTATGTTCCTGTCCCAAACAGGGATCAGATTTAACCAATATATTATGGATATTATGGATATATTCTGGATACTTCAGAAAATATTAATAAAAAAACACATTACACATTCTCGTAATTGGGGGACATATGGCTCTCTGTCTTTATTTCTGTGTTCATTTATTCATTTATTAATTCACTTAGAGTGCAACAACCCAGACCTATGAACCTTCACAACTTAAGAACAAAAGGCTGAATATTACTAACCTCTGCTGTAAGCTGATTAACCATATAGGCATTAACTAGGTTTCTGACCTCAGAGTTATAGGGTTTAATCAAAATCATTGATTCAGACACCCCAGGATACTCATCATTGGTCCAAACTTGCTCCCTGACAGGTGAAGGATAAATGGCCTAGATCTTTATCACTGAACGAATGTTTAAATTAACCATGATACAAACTGTAACATTAAAAGCCCTAAAAATGAAGGATGTTTAACCATGATACAAACTATAACATTAAAAGCCCTAAAAATGAATAAAAATCCTCCATGATTTTTAATAAACGCTAATTGTTCTGAGTTGGATTAATTGTACACATTGTTTAGTTTCCATTATTGGTCCCTCTGTGGCACCTTTTCATTTTACTTAGGTGTTAAGCATTTATTCCTTTGACATAATGCCATAATGAGCCACCCAAACCGAGGACATGAATTCTGACTATAATCTACTACAGTCTCTAGGCTCCTTACCCACAAAGGTATAAACTAAAATCTTTAGTACCACTGAATAAATAAATCAGCTATAGTGTTTTTGTTGCATGAATTAAAGTACACTTTTTATAAAGAACAGAACAGCAGAGACTGAACTTCTTTTAATGGACTCGAGTCAAGAGGTACGAGATGAATAAACCTTAGTTGCTACCATATTATCATTACTGACTCAAGAAGGACTCCATTTTTTATTGACTTATTTACCATTTACTTTTTCACTTATGCAGAGAACAGTGTGAAATCTGCCACCCACCTACCACCCACGAGTCGCGAAATAACTAAACGTAAACTAGTCCTTCTATCCATCTGGATATTCCCTAACTACATGGTTCCCGGCCTCATTCAACTTTTTCAAGTGGCCACACTCATGCTTTGCTCAGAACGCACCATGAAGCACTGGTCTCAAGTTCACCCTAATGTATACCCTATCTATTGATCCACTCATGTTTCTCTCTTATTTAATTAGTCAAAGAATAATTTCATTATTTACTCAGTACAATATCAGGTCAATCATAAATGTGGGTCATTTTAGAATGTTATCATTGTCCACGAATCACTCTTATTTATTGACTTACTTAATTTTTCTTTTTCAACAACACAATTAACACCAGCATGAGAATATGAACCATTATCTACCATAAATATCCGTGTCCATACTCCCTATCCATAAATTTAACAACTCAGTGGTTGCTTTTAATGAACCTCAGTTGTACAAAACTGGGTAAATGTAAATCTTTATTTTATTACATATTCCCACCAATGAAGCACAAATTTTTCTGACTGATGTCTACTGATTCATTTATTTATTCATGTATATAATTAGGCATAAAATAAATCAATTACGTACCCATTTTTCTAAAGACTTTCCCCATGCAAATTTCCATGTACACCTGAACCTAGTAATAACACACTGTACGTTAACCAACCGGAATGTAAATTAAAACTTAAAGAAGAAATTTCTATGTGTACTTTACCCAAAGTGGAAGGAGCTGCAAGTTCTATTTTTTTTTATCTGGACAGCATTTGGGTATAGAAGGAGCAATCATTATCTTTGGTTCATAACACATATTCCTCACTGGCCTTTGCTCAGCCTTCTTTTGAATAATTAACCTGTATAGAAATGCACTTGTTCATTCCCCTATGACAGTATGTCAGTATCAATGAAAACCAAGGCACGGAACGGGAATATTAAATATCCAGGCTACATGCTCATGGCTCAGAGACATAACTGATAATTAAATCTTCTTTTGATTTAAAAAAAATTAAACTACTGAATATGGTTCTATTGACTGTAATTCTGGTCATATGACACATCCTCCGTATGGATTCATGCTTGGCCCTCTCTCAATAAGACAATATTAAAACAATCTATTATTTATGTAAGCCCTTTTTTTTTGTCCCTCTTAACTAAAACCACCAAACAAAGAATCAAAGCAGCAACATGAACTCTCAGGTCTATCTGTCCATACCTGTCCTTATGGAAGAGTTCAGAGCTTTGATTTATCTGTGGAACCCAGTGCTTTAAATATACACTAAACACAATCTTCGTTTTATTACACAACTTCACAGTTGGTCCACGTGTGGCCCTCCTTATCTCTGTTCATTTAAACATTTCCTTATCCATTCAGGAGTCCATTTGCCAAAGACTCTACCTTTTCTCTTTTTCATGGTAGTCCACAGATTTCCAGACAAGGATTAATACAATTTTGTTTGTTTGTTCCATGTTTATTTTTTATTTTTATCTTTTTCAGTTTTTATTTAAATTCCAGTATAATTAACCTATAGTGTGCTACCAGTTTCAGGTGTACAATATAGTGACTCAACACCGGGAGCTCATCGCAAGTACCCTCCTCCATCCCCATCACCTGGTCCCCCACCTCGCCCCCACCTCCCCTCTGGTGACCATCAATTTGTCCTCTGTAGTTAAGAGTCTATTTCTCAGTTTGCCTCTCTTTTTTCCTTATGCTCCTTTTGTTTCTTAAATTCCAAACAGGGGTGAAATCATAAGGTATTTCTCTTTCTTCGACTGACATATTTCACTTAGCATAATACTCTCTAGCTCCAACCACATCATTGTCAATGGCAAGATTTCATTCTTTTGGATGGCTGAGTGACATTCCATGGTATAGAGCTACGCATCACCACCTCTCCTTTATGCCTTCATCCATCCACGGCCTCTTGGGCTGCTTCCGTATCTTGGCTACTGTACCTAATGCAGCCACAAACATGAAGAGCGCCTGTGTCCCTTTAAATTAGTATTTTTGTATTCCTTGGGTAAATATCTAGCAGTACAATTGCTAGATTGCAGCTCAGTTCTAGTTTTTAATTTCTGAGACACCTCCATACTGTTCTCCAGAGTGCCTCCACCGGCTCCCACTCCCACCAACTGTGCAAGAGGATCCCCTTTCCCCACATCCTATACAATTTTAGATTCAGACTCAACCCCTGCTCCAGGATCCATCCCTGTCCCCAGCTCTGCATTCTTTTTCTTTCAGTCTTTTATCCTTTCGTTTACTGTTTCATTGACTGTTTCAATAACAACAGAGTCAATACACACAAATCACAAAAGCTCAAAAAGAGTGTCTTGCATATGACAAAGATCGATCAGTTTCTCATAAAGCTAACACATCAGATTTCCTTTGCAGGGGCCTTCAGAGCAGACACGTGTGCTCCCTGAATCATCTGAAGGGATGAATGTTAAAATCCACGGTCATGTAAGTATCACGTATGAACATGTATGAAACACCTCCCATCTTTTCTTAAGGAGTCATCAATTGTGCAAAATTGAATGAATCATCATGATCTAGGGTTCTTAATCTATTCCTGTCGTAGGTGATACGCAGCACTCTTCAATGTTACACTCCTCCGTGGCTCTTTATTCCTTGGAATACTTCAGGGAACGTCCTTGTGCAAGTTCCCCTGAGGACATAAATTTTGACTACTACTCACCTCAGTATTTCTGCTCCTTAACCCCAGAGCCAGCATCGTCATCATTAGATAGGATTTAATCAACTATAATGCCTTAATTCTGAGATAAAAATCAGGCTTTAAAAATCATGGAAAAGGGGCGCCTGGGTGGCTCAGTGGGTTAGGCCGCTGCCTTCGGCTCAGGTCATGATCTCAGGGTCCTGGGATCGAGCCCCACATCGGGCTCTCTGCTCAGCGGGGAGCCTGCTTCCTCCTCTCTCTCTCTGCCTGCCTCTCTGCCTGCTTGTGATCTCTCTCTGTCAAATAAATAAATAAAATCTTTAAAAAAAAAAATAAATAAAAAAAAAATAAAAATCATGGAAAAAAGCAAAATAATAATAAAGATGAAAAAATCATAAATTTAAGTATGTTTAAAAGGTAATTATGGGGACGCCTGGGTGGCTCAGTTGGTTGAGCGGCTGCCTTCGGCTCGGGTCATGATCGCAGCGTCCTGGGATCGAGTCCTGCATTGGGCTCCTTGCTCCGCGGGGAGCCTGCTTCTCCCTCTGCCACTCTGTCTGCCTGTGCTCACTCTCTCTCTCTCTCTGACAAATAAATAAGTAAAATCTTTTAAAGAAAAGATATTAATTATGGAGTTCTAGATTACACATAAAACTTGTCCTTCTTTTCATTGGCTCAAGAATATCACTACTGTTTATTTACTCCATCAATTAATTTTAATTTTAAATAACATAATGAACACCATCACATCGACCACTCAACCCGCAAGTAACAACCATGACTATTATAAACATGCCCATGTACTTGACACAGAGTAAAAATCTACATTCTCCTTTTCAATGGGCCTTTCTTGTATTGACTGGATAAATTTAAATTCTTGTTTCATAGCATATTTTTAATAATGGCCCATGGTTGACTCTGCTTAATGTATCCATCCATTCATTCATTCAATTACTCATGGAACAATTTTACCTGTTGTTCATTATATAAACTAAAGGCAGGGGGTACCTGGGTGGTTTAGTTGGTAAAACATCTGACTCTTAATTTCAGCTCAGGTCGGGATCTCAGGGCTCTGAGATCGAGCCCCCACACTCAGCAGAGAATTTGCTTTAGGATTTCTCTCCTGGGGCACCTGGGTGGTTCAGTAGGTTAAGCGTCTGCCTTCCACTCAGGTCATGATCTCAGGGTCCTGGGGTCGAAACCCACATGGGGCTCTCTGCTCAGCAGGGAGCCTGGTTCCCCCGCCCCCGTCTGCCTCTCTGCCTCCTTGTGACCTCTCTCTGTGTAAATAAATAAATAAAATCTTTAAAAAAAAAAAAAAAGAAAGAAAGGATTTCTCTCCCTCCCTCTTCCCCTCTCCCCATTCCCTTTTTCTTCTCCAAATAAAAAAAAAGAAAGAAAAGGCAAAGATGGTAGCTTCCCTTATGGCGAGCAAAACATACAGGGCTGTCAAATCACTACGATGTAAACCTGAGACTAATACAACATTGTGCATTAACTGTACTTCGATTTAAAAAAACAAGAAGAAAAAAAAAGAAAGAAATATGGTAAACTAGGCAGCCCCTCAGAAAGGCAGTAACTACTATGTGTGTCTGTTTTCATTATACAAAGCAGGAAAAGCCTAGCTTTTTTTAAATATACAAACAGTAGTGTGAAACAGGGTAATCATTATCGTCAT